TGAAATATAACTATGTATTTAATAAACACTTAGTTACTAGGTTGGGTAAGTGTTGAGGAGGATAGAATGATGGGGTGTAACTGTTGTGCGTATCTGGTGTATGTTTTGGTGCAGAACCTTGTGGAATGTTTGTTGTCAGAATAGGATGATTAATTTGTGTAGTATTAAGTTGTCCATGTTATGTGCGGCTTGTCATTTAGGATAAGAACAGAAATTAGATGTGGATCTGAAGCAACCATCAGAATCTGATCATAGAGTAGACCAGAATCAGTCTTTGAATTAAGGTCTTTAGTTCGTTTAGAATCATTGGTATTGAGCCACAATACGGCTACAGGTCCATAGAGTTACTGTGTTAGTGTTACTTGTTAGACAGTGTCCGGACTACAGCTACAGGTCCATAGAGTTACTGTGTTAGTGTTACCTGTTAGACAGTGTCCGGTCCAATGTTCCCTTTAACTGCGCGGCTGCGCGGCCGCGCAGCAATCTCACAGACGCCGCGCAGCAGTTTTGAGTATCGCGCAGCTAATTTCCACTTAAGTGTGTTTTTGTGTCTGTAGGCTGTAAAATTTTGCGCACAATAAAAATGATGCTGTCAAAATTTGCACACAACTTTATGATTTTGCACACGAACCAACAAACCTTAGAGGGAACATTGGTCCGGACTACAAGCTACAGGTCCATAGAGCTACTGTGTTAGTGTTACCTGTTAGACAGTGTCCGGACTACAGCTACAGGTCCATAGAGCTACTGTGTTAGTGTTACCTGTTAGAGAGTGTCCGGTTAAGGACAGCATGATTAAACCGATGAGGGACGTTTCCATGGTGTGTGACACAACTGACATAATATGTCTTGAGGAAATTGTTGACAATGGATTGACACTCCCTGGCTCATAGCACTGAGAACCACTGAGAACCAGTATAGCTTTGAGAGCTGAAAGTCGAGTATATAAACAGTTATTCCTTAATAGTTGGGTTTATTTAATTAGATAATTGTGTACATAAAGTTAAACTTTCAAAGATTTCATTAAGTGGCGCCCCAAAAAGTTTCCATGCCCAAATATCGTAATATCTTATACGCCCCAATGAAATGAAAGAACAGTCCCCACCCTCACCAGCAAACAAGCTACGAACCCAGTAACTCTATCACTCCGATACTGTCTTTACCTTTCACACATCAGGACTACGTCGCATGGACCGTATCCATAACTCATAATGTATGACTATGTACGCCGAAATTTTTAAACCGAAAGTTTTTAATTAAGCCAGAATTATAGAGTTTAAAGTCAGTGTTATGTTTTACTCGTTTGACGACGTCATCGGCGCCTCTGTGTTTTATGGAATATAACTAACACAATAATAAAAAAATTCCATTATAAAATTTAACTTAGCTGTCTATTGTTTAAACATTTTGTAACAAAGAGCATTCATTATCATAACACAACACTGATACTCACTGATAAACAACTAACCAAAGGCAAGTTTTTAATATCACAAGAAAATATACTATATACTAATAAGTAGGAATCTAAAAGACAGTCAACATGCCAGCTGACCCCAATAGCACTACACCCCCCCCCCTCCAAACACTACACACCGATCGCTAGCAGACTGATATTCCATGCAAGTTTTTTCCGTCGGTTGGTGAACACCCTTCACTTTGTGTGGTGCGTAGTGCGTAGCACAACTGGGAATGGAGGGGAGATAAGCGGTGGTAGTCTACAATCGATCTCCGCGACAGGTATGGCATTCGTACTGATCGATCAACTGTGCCACAATATACAAGAGTTTGAACTCGCTACTACGGAGAGATACAAATATTTGAATCCATCATTGTATAAAGTGGGCCACACTAAGTTTTATGCCGACACTTGGATCAAGCTCCTGACCAGTGGGCAATGGGTGGGTGGGCAAAAGCAAAACGTTTTGTCTAAATACTCGAATAAAAACATAATTTAAAGCAGAAATATCAAATACTTACATGCTACTTATGAGATTTTATCAATGTCTATGAAATTATTAACAGATAATATCAGATAAAGGAATAATAACAATGGGCTTCTATCAATAATAAAAACATAATTTAAAGCAGAAATATCAAATACTTACATGCTACTTATGAGATTTTATCAATGTCTATGAAATTATTAACAGATAATATCAGATAAAGGAATAATAACAATGGGCTTCTATCAAATACTTATCCGTGTCTTTCCTATGAAATACTTTCAAATTCTCATCAGATACCACCATATTCTTTCAAATACCTATCATATTGTTATTATTATTATTATTGTTATACGTGGTTTTATATAGCGCAGTACCCCTGCCTAGGGCTGGGCTCACCACGCTGTACAAACATAATTTAACAAACATAATCACGAACTTAAAAATTAACATATATTAACGTAACCAACCACATTCTTATCAGATTCAGTAAATTTCCATCACCTTCTTATGTGTTACGATTAAATTATATTAGAAACACTTTTTAGATGTAAAATACAAAACATAATTGAAGAAAATATAGTGACAGAGTAATACCTTAATTAAAACTTTTTTTTTATAATTCCAATTCATTTATAGATCATGTTAAATAATTTATATAATTTATACTAGAAACTAATGCTTAATCTAGCACACACTATTTAATTAGAATTTCAGTAAACATTTTTTAAATATGTTATTTCAGTACATGATTTAAAAATTTTGTTAAATTAAAACTTAGATATTTTTGGCTGTAAATAGGTTATTTTGTACATAATTAAATAATCTTTTGTTGAATCATTAAAAAACAAACAATTAAATTCAATCGATTGTTTATCAGATTAGTTTAGTGCTTGAACGTATGCCTTGTTTAGATGTTTACGCACACATTTTAATATTTCCAAATGGTGAGCAGGTTAAATTGATTTTATCCATCATCAAATTCAACATTGGTTTCTATTTAATTCTTATCACATTATATCAAATCTGAGAAGAGTTTAATACATTTTTGTCATTGCCTACAGCTCCAGTTATGCCCCCTATTTTAATGAATTTAGAAACTTTACTCTGACATGCATTACGATTGGAAACTTCTGTGCTGTATTAGTTCTATTATTTAGTGATTGACAGATTTACAACTTTTAAGACCAGGAAAGGAAAATGTTTAATAAAGTAAATTTAATGTAAAAATATCTATAACTTAACGTTACTTTTTCCCTTCTTCTATATTTTGAGGGCCCACGATCAATGTATTGATCATTCTGGCTCGAATAAATTTTTAAATGCAGTTCGTAAATACATTGACCTCCTGACCTTTAATTAATTTGCTTTTTTTCTTGTCGTTGTTATACCGTGGACTTATTTTAACAATAACAAATCCATCTTGGAAGTTGGGGGAGGTGGGTGACACCAAGAGTTTACCGCACCGGGTGACACCTACCCTAGCTACGCCACTGCTACATTATTAATAATAGATAATTAGAATGTGGATCAGGAGAATATAGAAACAGTTGTAGGGATTAGCCCTAGGAAACACCCACTGCAAACAATTCCACCCATCCACCTTTAATATTGGGCCAATAGATTAGTGTTCTCTCACCAAAAGATGCCCGGTCCCATATACAGGAAGATATCTCTCAAGGGAACATATATGGTTCACAGTGGCCATCTAAAGACACACCCTGTCCTGTGTCCTCATATCTACATTTATGTGGTCTATAAATAGATTGTAAACTAAACATTGGTGTCAATACCAGCTAAAAAGCAAGGAAGGAGGGATATTTTAGTTATAATCCTCAAACTCCACAACTTTGAGCATCCACTGGACAACTTTGAGCATCCACTGGACAACTTTGAGCATCCACTGCACAACTTAGAGCAACCCTTGCACAAATTTGAGCCCCCACTGCACCCTTTGAGCATCCACTACACCACTTTGAGCATCCACCGAACCACTTGGAGCACCCTTGCACAAATTTGAGCCTCCACTGCACCCTTTGAGCATCCACTGCACCACTTGGAGCCTCCACTGCACCCTTTGAGCATCCACTGCACCACTTTGAGCATCCACTGCACCACTTGGAGCATCCACTGCACCACTTGGAGCACCCTTGCACAAATTTGAGCATCCATTACTTTATCTTCACCATCTGATCCCCCCCCCCCCCAAAACATGCCAGCACAAATGTATATAAATAAATAAGTCTATTAAATAGACAGTAGGGGCAGATGGAAGATCTTTCTCATAATAGTGATATTTTTACTGAAGTACCGGTACTAAAATATTAATGTTACTCTGAAATGCAGCATTTTCTATGTACCTACTGGACAAAAAGGCAAATAGAAAATAGGTTAAGCCAAAAATATTTTCTTCAAAACAAAATATTTATTGAAATCTCCGTTTCAAACATTTTTTAAAAATGTTTCATCCATTAAGTATAGAAATGTTCACCAATGAGTAGAGGAAAAACTATAAATAGATCATAGAATATTTTACTACAACATAAATATTTGTAGACCTTTACAAACTGAAGTTAAAAACTAGGAAAGACAATCCTGAAGGCATAAATAAGTTAATATTTTGAGTCAATAAAAATACATGTCTATGTATAAAGTGTAACATTTCAACAAAAAAATATTTCTAATGTCTTTGTGAGTACATTGTTAATGGGTGCAAGGAAATACATCATCAACATACAGCAATATGACTGGACATGAATCACACTAAAAGACCACAAAGTAAACCAGGGTTAATTTTAAAACTGGCAAATCATTATGAACATGTCTGCAGGTTTTTAAGTATCTACTGCTCCTTCAAGTGCCAACACTGCTCCTTCAGGTGCCAACACTGCTCCTTCAGGTGCCAACGCTGCAAGAAATGTATACATCACAGAGATCTCAGATGGTCACACTACAGTAACATGTAGTTCTCCAAGAATATTGCTGCTCATTAGTCTGCAACAACATGTAAGTTCAATTCACAATAGATGTCACTTTCATGACAGGGGATGTCACAGTTCACTCGACAAAGGACGTCACTTTCAAGACGGGTGATGTCCACAGTGCTGAACTAGTTCTCTCTTTGAACTTCTTTTTCCTTGGGAAGATCAAACGCAGATCAGGGGGAACTATGCGGTTTGCTTGGAATATTATGTCAGGATCCACTTGTGACGACTCTTGTATCATGATGGCTTTCATGATATTCTCACCTGACAAAAAGAACAAAAACATTTAGTGACGAGATACTCTATGCTCAAAGGCAAGTCCTTATAATTTGTGAGCGTGAAGTAAGGAACAATTTCAAAAATGATATTTTGGGATATTATTCTTCTATCCATATTTATAAGCTCACATCTAATAGAAATTAACTGGTATGTAATAATTAAGCTTGGGCAGAAGTAAGGCTCAAGAAACTTAAAGCAAAGTGGATTTAGAGAATACAATTTTTTGATGCGCAATGATGTATTGAAATTCTCAAAACTCAGGTTAACAACATTTCACTGATATAAAATTTAAATATTTTATGCCTTGCTGAGTACACATTTCAAATGCATTAATCTATCTGGGCACAGATTATTTCAATTTTCCCATTTTTTGGGCTTATAATACACCTTAACTAAAGTATTTTATATCAAGATTGTATGAAACATATTCAATATTGATATATGGCAAAACGTTTCGATCCACTACAAATGTGTACTAAATATTTTTGCAAAATAAGCTTCAACTGTTTCATTAGTTATGCTAACTGATTATGTGAGTTCAGAATGTCTACATGAGCAAACATTTTCGTCATATGGGCTGTTCGTACATGAACCCACTTTGAAGTCTGTCTTAGTCATATGGGGTGTAGGTACATGAACCCACATTGAAGTTCTCTTGAAACAAATACCTAGGCACCACTTGGGAATGGTCTTCCTCGGGGCATCTTCATCATCTGTGGAATCATCAGAATTCTTGTCAGCAATGTCATAGCTTTCTATTTCAGAGTGCCTTCCCTTTGCTGGTATCATTTTATTTGCAGTTAGTTCACCCTTTCCTGTCTTTGTTTTACAGCTGCTGGAAGAGAAAGAAACATTCTGTAACAGTGTTAGAAAAGCATTAATTTTGAACTCAAAATGTATGGCTTATTTCCATCTACTCCTATTTATAATAGCTTCAATCTGACATGTAACAGGCAGTTTGGTCTGGGTAAACTACTCACTAGAACAAAAGGATAATGAATGAAGGACTGCGTTCATGCTATGTGAAGGAAATAGTAGAACAAGGTATGTGGAAGCTTGAATCGAAAGACAGGACAGAAAGATAAGAACGTTTATAAGATTGTAATCTTGGTATTGGAAAATCCAACTTCCGGCAATAACAACAAGGATCATTTAAGTTTTTAACTAGTTTCTATTTCTTGTCATATTTTCATTTTTTTCTGTCTGCCGAAGGAGGCTCTCAGCCGAAATGTTCTTATCTTATTATCAAGCTTCCACATATCTTGTTCTACTATTTCCTTGACTAGAACTAACAAAGCAAACAGTGAGGCCAATGTATTTGTTACTCATTGCGATTGCCCACTATTCAGACATGCCTCCTACCTCTTTTCCTCTTCTGTAGCAAGTCTTCTCCGGTCAGTATCAACTTGTTCTTTTTGCTTGTAAACAAGAGGAGCATGGATCAATTGATAGAGATGAGGTTGTAATCGAAAAATTAATGTTTTTTGTTCTTTGAAAGTTATCAACTAAATCTAAAAAGTTGAGAGAAAAGTCAACCGGATGACCAAACTACAAAAAGGGGCCAAACCAGTAAAAAGGCTGACCAGCACCACATGTGGTAGTGATAAGACAAGCATTATGTCAATTATACAAAAAATATGTGTGCTTGAGAATGAAGTACAACTTGGTACTTCAATCAACATGCAGCAAAATTGAACTGGACTTTCTTGAAAATCAGTGCTTAATGCAGGTAAACACCAAGACATTCTTCTTCGTCTTCTATATATTAAGGCCCCACGATCAATTTATTTATCATTTTGGCTCCTATGCATGTAGAGGGGATTTGCAATATTTCTGTGCCTGGGGTTGATGAGGATATTTCACTGATTGTGAGTGCTACTTTGTGAGGGAATCATGCACTGGTTGTTGGAAGGCCTGAGGCAATAGACGCAAATGTGTCTTGTGTTGTTGCCTCAACTGTTCCTTTTGAAAGCTTGTTCCAATCCTTGATTGTCTATGGCAGGAATGAGCAGCTCCTATACTGACTTCTCGCTGGTATGAGTCGGAATTGCCTGTCATGGCCTCGTCGCTGTCTATGGGGGAGAGGGACGAGTTTCTGTTTAATACTGGAACATTACATGAACAACAGTAAAACCACTGCTTTGGCAAATAATCTCCCTTGTCAAAATATATGCAGTCAAACTAGTATTACAGTGGATACCATGACAAAGCAATATACCAGGACACAATACTATACCAGGACACAGCAGTATACCAGGACACAGCAGTATATCACGACACAGCAGTATATCAGGACACAGCACTATGCCAGGACACAGCACTATGCCAGGACACAATACTATACCATGACAAAGCAATATACCAGGACACAACACTATGCCAGGACACAGCACTATACCAGGACACAATACTATACCATGACAAAGCAATATACCAGGACACAGCACTATACCAGGACATAGCACTATGCCAGGACACAGCAATATACCCGGACACAACACTATACCAGGACACAGCAGTATACCAGGACACAACACTATCAGGACACAACACTATCAGGACATAGCACTATACCAGGACACAGAATATAACATGACAAACAATCTACCAGTGAAATGAGAGACCAGATATATTAGCAAAACAGACAGCATCTCATCCACAGCCAGATCAGCATCACTCAACACAGCCAAATAGATCAGCATCACTCAACACAGCAAAATAGATCAGCATCACTCAACACAGCCAAATATATCAGCATCACTCAACAAAGCCAAATATATCAGCATCACTCAACAGAGCCAAATATATCAGCTATTGAGCATTGCTGCATTCCTCTGTAGACAAAGGCTCCATACAACATGAAGCCAACAGAACAGCAACTGCAGAGCGCAAGAGAAAGCCAGAAAAGCCCAAGTTAGCTCTGCACCTAAAGAAGTCCCGTCAATGCACTGCACTTACTGCACAATAACATTTCTTTTGCCAGAACGGGTCCCATCAGCCATCTGCACACCAAAAGCAAAAGTTCACTAATAGCATATACAATGATTAAGGTGGTCATGGTTGATTTACACTGACAAACAATAGAGTAGCTGGTACTACTATCCACGTAAAACTGTACATGTTATCGTTGAACCACTGTCATGGCCAGTTTCACACAGCACTTCTTTTTTAAATTCCCAGTAACCAGTGTTAAAAGAATAAAGTCTCATAAATAAGACAAGAGAACTAGCCAAGCATATAGACAAAAGTATTACAAACCAACCTGTTCCAATATTTTCTTCAATCTTTCTTCTGCATCCAGCTGGCGCTTTGCAATAACATTCTGCTGTTTTCTCATCCTATAAGAAGAAGATGAATAAACCTTAGTAAGAATTGCAGCGCCATGAGACTATTCTTTTTTTAATTTTTTATAACCAGGTAACTAAAATTTGAAGTGAATTTAACATTACACATAACTTTCTAGTATGTATGTTATTTTATTCCATCCTTTATAGATAAAATATCAAGTTTAAAAAAAAGAGATATGGTGTCTGCTATTTCATCTAATGACATCTAGTGTTTCATCTGATGTCTGCTGTTTCATCTAATGCTTGCTGTTTAATCTTATGATTTCTGCTGTTTCATCTAATGATGTCTGCTGTTTCATTTTATGATGTCTACTATTTCATCTAATAATGTCTGCTATTTCATCTAATGATGTCTGCTGTTTCATCTGATGATGTCGGCTGTTTCATATATTCTTTACTACTGCCAGGATTTGGAGGTGTCCTTCTTGGAATGCTATTTATCTAGTTACTAAAACATTGACCTAGTAGAATTCCTTTTGTCATTTCAAGAAGTTAAGCACATGAAATGTCACTAAAGCTAGCTGCAAGAAGCTAAGCACATGAAATGTCACTAAAGCTAGCTGCTTTATCTAGTTACTAAAACATTGACCTAGTAGAATTCCTTTTGTCATTTCAAGAAGTTAAGCACATGAAATGTCACTAAAGCTAGCTGCAAGAAGCTAAGCACATGAAATGTCACTAAAGCTAGCTGCAAGAAGTTAAGCACATGAAATGTCACTAAAGCTAGCTGCTAATGTAGCTAAGCACATAAAATGTCACTAAAGCTAGCTGCAAGAAGCTAAGCACATGAAATGTCATTAAAGCTAGCTGCAAGAAGCTAAGCACATGAAATGTCACTAAAGCTAGCTGCTAGAAGCTAAGCACATGAAATGTCACTAAAGTTAGCTGCAAGAAGCTAATCACATGAAATGTCACTAAAGCTAGCTGCTAGAAGCTAAGCACATGAAATGTCACTAAAGCTAGCTGCTAATGTAGCTAAGCACATGAAATGTCACTAAAGCTAGCTGCAAGAAGCTAAGCACATAAAATGTCACTAAAGCTAGCTGCTAGAAGCTAAGCACATGAAATGTCACTAAAGCTAGCTGCTAGAAGCTAAGCACATGAAATGTCACTAAAGCTAGCTGCTAGAAGCTAAGCACATGAAATGTCACTAAAGCTAGCTGCAAGAAGCTAAGCACATGAAATGCCACTAAAGCTAGCTGCTAATGTAGCTAAGGACATGAAATGTCACTAAAGCTAGCTGCAAGAAGCTAAGCACATGAAATGCCACTAAAGCTAGCTGCTAATGTAGCTAAGCACATGAAATGTCACTAAAGCTAGCTGCAAGAAGCTAAGCACATGAAATGTCACTAAAGCTAGCTGCTAATGAAGAGGGAAACTATCTGACTACAAAGTAGCTGCAACCAATTAAAGTTTACCTGAGATTTTTCTTTCCATTTTCTTCTTTGAGTCGAGCTGCCATCAATTTTTCTGGAATCATGTTCAGCTCTTCAAGCTTCTTGTTAAGTTTTACGTTTTGCTTTTCTTCAACAAGCAGCTGCATCTTACGGGCTTCAGCAACCTTGGATTCTTTCTGGGCTCGTAGTCTGTTAAATTAAAACCAGACCTGTTTACCCTTAAACCCCTAAAATCGTACAATATGGTCTAAAAATCGTACAATACAGTTTATTAATAGTAAATAAATAAAACTGCAGTATACATTATATAGATAATAACTACTCCTATAGCGATGTTCAGTGGAATCGAGTTAAGTTGGCGTCAAGAAATGGAACGCGCCGTCATACAACGCCAACAAACACGATAGGCCATCTATATTTAAAAGTACCGGTACGCCGAAAAGTCTAATTATGTAAACCCCCCCCTCCCCCGGCCTTTCCATTGCACGCAGACTTTTTTTACAACCCCTCCCCCAATTACAATAATAAAAAATTGGCAAAATCCATTGCATATTATGTTACAGTCAACAAAATGTGACACGGGTTTTCGCCACTGGTGATTCGGCCAGCCCAGTGGTTCACAGAATATATGCCACATCGGACTACATCGCCCTGGGTGCTCGCTGCCCTTGGGCAGGGCCATGAGAATGTAACGAAGAGCAACAGGCGCGAACATCATCTATAGAATAAAGAAAGGAACTGAAACAGTCAATTCAGCTATAAAATACCATTTACATCACAAAGATTAAGGGCGAAATAAATGTTCCTTTTACTGGTCCGCCCACGTGGGGGGGTGGGGGGTGGGGGTGTGTGCAAATTTTCTATCTGGGCTGCTGCGGCTTCCTCACAGGGGCGTTGTGCAATATTTACAAAATTTCATAATTTTATTGCCATTTTTAATCCAATGTGACAACTTTCGGTCCAGTTACCTACAATGTTTGCAGTTACAGGTGGCGCTCAGTGACCTACAAACGTGTTATATTTATTTGTATTCCACACTTTATTTTTATTTTTGTATTCGCTATTTTCAAATGTA